GCTGGCCCCATAAGCCACAGAGGCGTCCGGCTCGGGCTGCTGCTCCATGCTGACTGCTTGGGGACACACTGGGTTTGGCGGGCAGTGCGGAGCCAGATGCAGGCAGCATCTCAGTCCCCTGCCTGCCACGCGTCCTCTCCTGCCTGGGGACCCTTGCACTCCCCTGAGCGTGTCCCTGGCCGCTCAGTAACCATGGCTCTGCCCCGGCTTGTCCTGCCCCTTGCAGTTTGTGGGCATTACCTACGTCCTGACCATCATCTGGCTCCTGGTCTTCGCCTGCTCTGCGGTGCCCGTCTACATCTACTTTAACACTTGGACTACCTGCCAGTCCATTGCCAACCCCAGCAAGACCTCGGCCAGCATTGGTACCCTGTGTGCAGATGCCAGGATGTACGGTGAGTGCCAGGTTTGCTGCCCAGGAGCCAGGGCCCAGGGTGGAGCGGGGATGGAGGAGAGGGTCCAGGCAGACAAGGCTAAGATAAAGCAGAGGCAAGTGCTGAAGAGCCCCAAAATGCCAGGGTGTGCGTGACACTTGTGGCTGCAGGACACTGAGCAAGGTGGCTGGCTGGTGGCCATGCTGAGCTCACCCGGCTCCCGGTATCTCACCAGGCATCCTGCCCTGGAATGCTTTCCCTGGCAAGGTGTGCGGCTCCAACCTGCTCTCCATCTGCAAGACCAGCGAGGTGAGCACCTCCCGTCACCCCACGTGCACTCCTCTCAGTGGGTGGCCTCAGCACTGACCTCCCCAGCTGGCACGCAGGACCCCGGGAACTCACCTCTCTCTTCCCTTGCAGTTCCAGATGACTTTCCATCTCTTCATTGCGGCCTTCGTGGGGGCAGCCGCCACCCTGGTCTCACTGGTGAGTTGGTCTTCCCCCTGCCAGCTGATCTCCTCCACCTGGTGAGGATGTGGGGGCAGAGGACAACAGAGGTGATGGGCCTGGATGTGACAGAGCCCGTGCTTGTGTCATTTTGTGGCACATAAGTGCAGATGGTGAGTTCAGGCCATAAGAAGGTAGAGGTGGCTGCTGGAGGGGATCTGGAGAGGCTTTAGGAGACCACCAGGTCTGCTGCCTGTGCACAGAGTCCCCTGCCTTTCCTTGGCTCTCCTCTTGCTTTACGCCAGCGACAAGACACTGCGGTGTCCTGCCGGTGCAGCGGTGCCATGGGGCTCCATGCAGCAATTGCCCTGTTGGGGTGCTGGGCTCAGGGATGCCACCTCTGGTGTATCCTGGTGAGGAGTCCCACCTCACTTGCCCTCCCTGCCTGCAGGAGCTTCGTTTCTCCTCCTCCCCCCTCACTCACTCTCTTCCCACCCACAGCTCACCTTCATGATCGCCGCCACATACAACTTTGCTGTCCTCAAGCTGATGGGCCGAGGCACCAAGTTCTAGCCCACGCGGTGGAGACCAGCCAGACCAAATGCCCTTCTTTTCTCTAACCCCAAGGCTTTAACACTGCAGCCACCTGACACCAGGTCTCCTGCGTTAACTCTGTCTTCACCGCTGACTCCCCTCCTCTTCCTCCCTCGCATCCATCGTGCTGAGCGTGACCAGGAAGGAGAGCTTCCCACCAACGGACACCTCTTCATGCACTTTTCTCTCTCTGCTCATCTGTAACCGGTTCACTCTAGGGCCAAGCCTGTTAAAACCAGACAGAGAAGAGGAGGGACTGACTTACATCAGTTGTCCTGATGTTGCCTAGGGATGAGCAAAGGCCTTCATGCTTCTGGGAGGAGAAATCCATATAGGTTGCTCCATTAGTAGCAAAAGGATACCCAGAGAGAAAAGGAAGTTGGCCCAGTCCTGGTACCATTGCTAGAGACTCTCCTGGAGCTGTCTGCTGTCACCACCCATGGATGGAGAATAAGAGAAGGATTTTTTTTTTTCTCCTTAGCAAGGAAAGATGAATTTACCCCAAATTGCCTGCTGCAGCCAAGGCAAAGGGAGTTTAGGGCAAGGATCTTCCCACTGTGGAGAAGAGAGCACTGACCCCAATGCTGATAAAGCCCTAACCCAGCTGCCCCTATTAAAGCCTTATTAAAGGAGTTTGGTGTCTCTGTAGACAAGGGGGACACTCAGCTTTACACTCCAGGCAGCAGAGAGGTGGCAGATAGGTTTGATCAAGAGGGGACATCCCTGTGCTGTGCCCCGGGAGCGTAAAGCCAGAGTTGTGCCTCCGTAGGTAGGTGATGACCCTTTGGACTGCACACCTTCGCCTGCCCTGCCCTGCAAGCGCTGCGCTCGCCGCATGCTCTCGTGCCTTCACAATGGTGCTCTTCTCTGGGGTGACATCTGCTTCTCTAACCTCCGCTGTGTCGGAGAGCTTGATTTGTTTTTCACTTTCTCTCATTCTGTCCCCCTCTTCCCCTCACTTTTTTTCCCCCGTGTTTCCTGCAAGTCAGGACGACTGTCTTGTGTCTGCCAGGGTGGGAGGGACTGGCAGCATCTCGCTTCCAGCTGAAGCCCTTAAAGGAGTTGAGGAGGGAAGGAAAGGCAGCGGTGTGGGGGTCACAGGGCAGAAACATGCCCATATCTGCAAACCAGACCCTTTCTGGTGCCAGTTCAGTGTTTTCCCATGGAGGGGTGCAGCGGGGTGAGGGGTTTGGTGGTTACCTCTCCCCCATGATGGCTCTCCACAGCAGCTGGAGGAAAGCTCTCTGGCTGGGTAGTATGGGTCCAGCCAGACCCACCAAAACGTTGTTTCTAGTACTCCCCACCAACTGGTGTTTTGTTTTACTCTTCTGTGCCTCTCCTTAATGCTAATCTTTGTGTTTATTTATTGGAGAAACTACTTTCAGTGGCAGACTGTAGCTCCATCTTCCATAGTTTTTTTTTTTGTCTGTATGATCATAATCTTTCTTTTAAGTGCTGGTTTCAGCAGGGGCAAGGATAAAGGAGCAGATCTGCAGAGCAGAGCGTTCGAAGGATCCTTGCTGCCGGGAACACTGAAATAAGTTGTCCAGGCTACCAACGCACACGGGCTGGGGAGGGGGGAGATGCCAGGAGGGACGGCAGGGTGGGGAGAAACCAGTCAAGATCGGGAAATTCACATTGATGCTATCTCTCTTGGGGGTTTGCTGGGGTTTTTTTGGTACCCATTTAACAAAAAATAACCAGGTCCTCCTTCCCACCCTTTTCCTCAGACCCCAAACACACACACACGCACACACACGTGCACACACACACACAAAAAAAGAGAGTTAATCAACTGAAAGTGTTTCCTTCATTTCTGATCTAGAATTTCAACTTGTTAACAAGCAATAAAAAGGAGCAAGTTTTTAGAGACTTATCTTACAAAATGTATTTTATAAAAATTAAAGAAAATAAATTAAAATTAAGAACAATTGTGAACAAGATATATATCTGTCTGTCCATTTGTTGCTCTGGCTTTCCTACTCCCCCACCCCCAGCCAGAAAAAAAGCATGGAAGGGGAGGCTGCAGAGGAGAAGGTCCCAGAGGAGCAGCACTCACCAGTCCCATTTGTGCAGTGTGGGCCAGCAGCCCCTGCAGGACTCTGCCCACCCTTCCTTCCCACCCCAGCCATGAGATTCATAACCCTGACTCCAAAATCTTTGTTCCCAGCTAGGGAGCCCTTAAAATCTCTCTTTCTCCTCCAGCAACCCAGAGGAAAGTTGGGGTCTTTTAAGAGTCACTTGCCACAGGTGATGTGCTGCTGTCCTTTAATACTCAGCCCACACTGTGACAGCCTCTGCCACGTCTCCTAATGTAGCACCTACAGCACGACCACGGCAAAACTAATCGCTGCCTTGCATCAGGCAATGCACATGGTAGAAGCACGTCCAGAGCCACACAGGATGCACAATTCTCTCACAGAGAGCCCTGTGTGAAACAGGATGGTCTTGTTTAGGCATGAGGGCGGACTTGACTGTCGCAGGGCCCTACATGTGCTCTGTGGGTGGCTGCGTGCCGTTTGCCACAGAGTCGTTGACAGTTTGCACAGTGCTGGTGCACGGGGAGGTCATCGGACGGTGTTTTTCTGCCCCTGATCAGACAAACACTGCCCTTAGATACACATTTCCACAGCAGCTACTAAAGAACTATTGATTCAAATGTTGCTTCTCTTGGAAATTCTCCCCAGGATCCGTGCCTGGGAGCCTCTGGGGAACCAGGCCACAGAGGGATGCTCCCACCCCACTGCTTAAACCCTAGCACCTCTCCCATTTGCAGCAGATCTTCCCAAGACCCAGGTCTTTAAGGCACAACTATGTGCCTGTGAGCGGCAGGGTGGGCGGAGAGCCAGCAGGCTGTTACCGTCCGGGGCCAGGACACTCACTGCTCTTCCTACACAGGACTTTAGCCCAAATCCCACTGTCCCCTCTCTCCTCCAGCTTCAGCCCCCTCCAGGCAGGCAGCAAGGCTTCCCATGCAGCCTGGCATGGGGAGGTTTAGCTCAGGCACTGCTGCTGCCCCAGCTCAGTGCACAGCTGTGCCTGCACACCAGCCTTGCCCAAGCTCACAGAAACCCATGGGGCTGCAGCCAGCATCAATGGGGACCTTTGTTCCCTGCGTTCCCAACGCCATCACCCTCCTCTCCCTGTGCTGAAAGGGCCCTGTGTGTGCGTGATCAGCCGCTGGGCAGGAGTGAGCCAGAGAACAAAACACCATCTCTTTCCCCTGGCAGAGATTGGTGCCCCCCAGCCGGGGTGAGGGCTGGGGACAGCAGCCTGAGGTAGCGTGCAAAGGTGGCCAGCGTGGCTAGGACGCCAGGCAAGTCTGAGGGCCACACATGTAGCCTCTTGCCAGGTGTGCCCTTGGCTGTGTCCTGCTGCCACCCCACCTGGGAATATGGGACCTGCCCTCACAGCTCCTTCCCTGGGCACCCAGTGCCCTCCAGGAACTGGTGGAGAAAAGACAGGGAACAAACCCTGCCTGGTACCAAACCACATCCCCATACACCAGCCCATCGCGAGAGTCCCAAGGAGGGGAGCGGGTGCAACCACACACTTTCCCCGTCTAGCAGCTGAAGCGCAGCTGCAGTTTGCTCCCACAAAGGTCGGACCAGAGAAAGGGACCCTGGAGAAGGCTGAGGAGAGGGGAGGGATGGCAGCACCCCAGGGTGCTCGTGTA